TACAAAATTTTTCCACGCCTCAGTTAAGGATAAAATTCGAAGACATAATATAAATGATATTAAAAAGGAAAATGGCAATTGGTGTTATGACACCAAGGAAATTGGGCAGGAAGCTGTGGATTTCTTTTCCAAATTATATACGGAGGAGCGTACTCATTCCCATGATCAGGTGCTTCGTTATATCCCTAACCTTGTCCAGAATGAGGATAATGATAATTTGATGAGGTTGCCAGGAGAATATGAAGTGAAAGAAGCGATTTGAAGCTTAAGTCATGAGGCAGCACCGGGGCCGGATGGGTTTGGAGGAAGTTTTTATAGGGGTTGCTGGGATATAATCAGGAAAGACGTGATTATGGCAGTTCAAGAATTCTTTCTTGGTTTTGATATCCCTAAAGGCATTGGTAGCGTTAATATGGTTTTAATACCTAAGAAAAAGAATCCTTTATTCTTTGGTGACTTCCGACCTATTTGTCTTTCAACCTTCAATAGTAAGATATATACTCGAATTCTAGCTTCTAGACTAGCCAAGATATTGCCTCAAATCATCAGTAAAGAGCAATCCAGTTTTATGAAAGGTAGAGAAATTAAAAATCAAGTGTTGGTGGCTTTAGAGATGTTGCATGGTCTGGACAGGAAGTTAGAGCCTCGAATATGGTTATGAAGCTAGATATGGCAAAGGCGTTTGATCAGGTGGCTTGGGACTTTCTGGAGGCTATTTTGCAGAAATTCGGTTTTGACCTGAGGGTAAGAGGCTTAATTCTAGGCAATCTGAAGGGAACCTATATTTATATCCTAGTCAATGGGATGCCTTTTGGTTTTTTTCAACCGAAACGATGTGTGAAACAGGGAGATCCGATCTCTCCTCTTCTATTTATTATTGTTCGGAAGCTTTCTCTAGAGGTTTGAGCAATTGGATGCAAAAAGGGGTTATCGAAGGTTTTAACTTGGGCAGAAGTATTCAGATTTCTCATCTAGCTTTCGCGGATGATTTAATGATATTCTTAAAGGCCTCCTCCAGATCGGTCAAAATTTTTAATAAATTCTTACAATATTATCAAAAAGCGACCGGGCAATTTATTAATAAGGATAAGAGCTGTTTTGTTATTAGAAAGCATGCCACATCAGGAAGGATATTACATATCCAGAATGAGTTAGGAATGAAGGCAACTAAATTACCTTTAAAGTACCTTGGAGTACAGTTTCACACAGGTATTACCAGGTGGTCTCATTGCAAGGAAATAGTAGAGGCTTTTGATAGAAACCTGTCCTCTTGGAGCAGTAAGGTGTTATCACAAGGGGGACATCTTATTCTTATAAAGCACGTTTTAAACTCAATCCCTATTCATGTTTTTGCAGCTTCTACCCTTCCGTTGTCAATAATCCAGGTGCTTAACATGAAACTAGCTAATTTCTTCTGGGAGAGTAAAAACAATAAACCGAAGCACCACTGGGCTCGGTTTAAGAAACTTTGTAGACTTACAGATCATGGGGGTTTAGGGATAAGAGCATTGGCTGATATGCAGAAGGTAGCAGCCATTAAATTGTGGTGGGAATTTCAGAAGGGTCAGTCTATTTGGACTGATCTTATGCAAAGCAGATATGGTAGGCGTGGTCTGGGAGAGGTCAAGCCCTCAGATTCTCCGGGTTGGAGAAGGATTAGCCATATTCATGAGGAGGCTGAAAACATGGTAATTAGGGGGCCAAACACTATGGTATGGAAACATACAAAAGATGGAGCATTTACATCCAAATCTGCTTATTCAGCCTTGTGGCCAAATGTATGGAAGACTCTTTCAAACACCTAGGTCTGGAATCCGAAGCAAGTGCCCAAAATCAAGGTTTTTCTCTGGAGATTATGGCATGGTTGCCTTCCCTTTCCTGAACAGATGACAACATTCTCTGTTGCTTACCCATCCAGATGCCCATTTTGCAAAAATGCAAGTGCTACTCAGGACCACATTCTTTTAACCTGCCCGTTCTCTCAATCAATTTGGGTTTTTTCTCTAGTAGGTTGCTGCAAAGAGGAAGACCGGTTGATAGCATTAAATTGGAAATCATGAAGTGGTGGATTAGCAGATCAGGAAAGTCTATGGATGCTTTATATACAATCATTCTACCTGGAGTTATCACATGGCAGATTTGGAAGGCCTACTGGGACTCGATGTGGAACAATTCCGAGCAAGTGGAGGAGAGGGTGATTAATCAAATACAAATTAAAAATATATGTTAACCTGGTGCTATGCGAATGATAAATTATAAGGACAGGAACGATTAAAGAATTTGGGACTCATACTGTCTTCATTCAGGAGGAGAAAGCCTTTCATTTACTGGTGAGAGAAATTGCAAGCCTCATTTATGAAACTGAACTGGGCGATTTACAGGGGCAACGGGAAAACCTCAGCTGGATTCTTGCTCCGGGACCATGTGGGAGGGCTAGTAGCAGCAGAGGGTTTTCCTCTTAGCGGTTCGATAGGAAGGGAAGAAGATGCGTTGGAGAAGGCTCTAAGGTGGGTGAAAGCTCCAGGATTTCCTAAAGTGGAAGTGGAAGCATCTTTTTCTAAAATGGAGGAACTGGGCCGTAGATTGCTGGACCGGCTTAATGGCTTTATTTTCTCAATTATTCCTGTCCAAGTCAATAAAGTAGCTGGGCTTGTGGCTAGATTTGGATTACCGGGGCGGGTTTGTTGGCAGAAGGATGATGCAATTCCTCAGGAGTTAAGGGGTGCAATTGCATTGGATGCAACATCTACACCGTATGTGATATAATTTGGTCTTTTCAGGCTTCTCAACATGTCTTTTTGCTTTGACCCTTTTTTGGGCCTTCTCGGTGTAAACCAATCCGGTTGTAACTTTGTTCTGTTTTAATAATATCCGGTAAATGTTCCCCGTCATTTACCCCATTGATTTTGGTAGTTTGCCTACCAGCTTAAAAAAAAATTAGTACTTCGATCTACCTAAGAACAATATTGGATCTAAAAGTTCTGCAATTGAAACTTTATATACTCCGTAAGTCCGTATAAAATAGAAACAATGGCACGAATATAACGTATAAGGTTTTAATAGAAAAAAATATGACTTCTTTTAAAGTTCACAAAAAAGTTACTCATGCTTCTTCCCGATCCAGATCTACGCAGCTCGCACACTGCGCCATCCGCCTCCCCTGCGCCATCCGCCTCTCCTGTGTATTCCGCCTCCCCTGCACATGTCAACATAACTTCCATCTTCTTCCCTGCTTCATGCCATCCAACCTCCGGCCAACACACAACACCTCTACTGCCACAACCACCATTGAGCAACACACTGACCAAGGATTCTTCTCCTCTTGCTGAATCAAAACTAGCAGCAAGTTTGTGCACAGATTCGCCGACGAGCTTCTAATTTGGTGGTAAAGGCGACAAGCTTCGCTGAGAAACTCCAAGCTTCTAATTTGGCTGGGTCAAATCTGTCGACCGCCTTGGGACCAAACAAATCCGCCGCAAATCTGATTGTTTTTCCCGCAGATTTGAAATTTTTGGCTTAGGGAGACAGGGGTTAGAGCAACTGGGGAAGGAGCTGGGAAGAAGGCTTGGCCGGGATGGTGAGGGAGACTATGAAAGGGGCTGGTTGGGTGGTGGTCGGGTTGGGACAGGGGAGGGATTGCATCGAGGCTGGGCTGAGATAAGGTTTGTGAGGGGGGCTGGGGAGTGCAGTGGCTGTGTGGCTGGAGTTGTCAGAAGGTCCGGCGGCGGCCATTGTGGTCAAATGGCGGTGGTGGCGGTAACCGGAAGAGGCGGGGCGGAGTTCAGCGGATCCCGCGGCAGTGACATCACTGTGTGGTAGCGGCGTCACTGTGTTCACTACGGTGATGTCACTGCGGTTATAGTGACACGCGCGGTAGCTATAGTGACACGCGCGGTGGCTATAGTGACACGAGTGGTGGTGACAGTGACACGGACGGTGGCTACAGTGACACGGGCGGTGGCTACAGTGACACATGCGGTGGCTACAGTGACACGATTGGTGGCTACAGTGACATGAGCGATGGCTACAGTGACATAAATCTGGCAAACACTATGTTTTTCTAAATATATGGCCTTCTTGATCACTTTTTTGCCCCTTTTTTAAAGTGGTCACTTTTTTGGTAATTGATTCAAAATTAGTAATGTTGAGGTATATTACCCCGGTCCGTTACTGTTCAGGAGCCCAAGGCATCGCCCCAGCTTGGAGCCCGAATGACAATGTCCATTTCAGCCTATTAGGCATGTTTCGGCCCTTTGGGCCCATTTTGGGCTTACTTGGCCCATTAGGTTAGGTTTCCCCCTTTCCCTTACCCCTATAAATATGGGGCTTTCCCACATGTTAGAGATCTTTGGCTTCTTCCTCCTTCTCACTAGAATAGCTTAGAACTCCATTAATGGGAGCTTCAATACTTGTACTATGTAATGGTGAGAAGAGACTAATGAGAATGAGAGGGCTTGGACATTAGCATAAAAAGTCCCGTGGTTTTCTCCCTTTCGGGTTTCCACGTAAAAACTGAGTGTTCATACATATATTTACTATATCGTGTTGGATTAAACTCAACAAGTAATATTCAAATAAAAACCCCTATAAAATATCGGTGTCAAACGGGGTATATTTTTTTAAAAATATGGAATAAAAATTAAAATGTTACGGAGTATAATAGATTAAAGAAATTTGAGATTTTCTTTTTGTGGGAGCCCCTGTCATTCTCCTCTGTGTCGCCCAATGCATTTCCTCTCTCCAAAAGTGAATAGGGGGTGCTACCTTTTTAGTGAAGGGGTTCCATGAATCCATTATAGCACCCTTCTCTACATTATTTTCTTTGGGTTGGAAACTTGGAACACTCATTGAGGTGAATACCTCAAAATTGGGGTTTTCATCCATTGGGTTGTGGACAGCCTAAGAGGAAGTCGATGCAGGAAAAGAATAAAGAGAAGGAACAAAACATAATGCATGACAAAAGTATCTGACTGCACAATAAATAGTGTACAAACTGGAGTACAGTATGCATACGAATCATGACATGAACATTAACATTTTGGCAAATTTCATTTGCAATTTGATTTACTTATTGAGAGATAAGTAGAAGGATTGTGCTACATTTATTCATTTGCCATATCTATTTAGAACAGCTTACCTAATTTTGTACTTGGTATAAGCACATGAGAGTGATTTTTAAGGCAAAACAATAGTTGAAAACTGAAGTTAAGATGGTCGTAGAAAAGATTTAAAAAGTATGAGAACTTCTGATGGAGATGAGAGTGGAACAAAATGAGATCCACCCTTCACGGATGCAAAGGTCAAGTATGTCACATTTTTTCCTTCTCTTAATTTTCCAAATGCATCGCTCCATCCTCCAACCTGGCAAAAAAAGAGAAAGGGAAAAGCAACGAACATGAGGTCATCAGTGAAAAAGTCATGAGTAAAGATGTAGAGCCCGTTTGGAGAACTCTGTTTTCGGCTTATCAGGCTTATCAGCCAGCTTTTTCACCAAACACGTAACTTTTACTTTCGCGCGCTGAATTGTGTAATAAGCCGAAAAAGTAAGGTTGGAGTTACTTTTCTGGCTGTATTGGCTAAAGTTATTGTAGAGGACCATTTTAGCTATTTTTACATATAATTTTTTCTTTAATTTATTAATAAAATATATTTTTAAAATATTTTTTTCTTAAATCAGCAGAGTCAGCCAAAACAGCCACTCCAGCCAGAATATCATAAATTTCAGCAGAATCAGCCAAAACAGCCGATTTTGGTGCTACCAAACGGGCTCGTAAGGTGCACTAATAAGGTGTACCGTTCAACATGTTTTCATAGACATGGGAGTACTTGTGTGATTTTCTCTCTCTCATATATAGTCTCCCCTTTCCATATACTAGGTATTAATTACTACAGTATCTTATCTTGTTTGCTTTCGTACAAGTTTGAAGAAAGTGATCCAATATGTACAAATTGCATGTTGTTAAGATTTGGGTAGAAAAAAGTGAATTGATATGAGTGTCATATTATTGTCAAAATAGAAACAACACAATTATTTGGGGACGTTTCGAAAACAAAACCAAAACAATTTTGGGAGGGAGATAGTATATTTCTTAATTGATAGTTTTCAAAGACAAAATTTCTCAATAATAAAATTGTGATCAGAGAAAGACAAAATTCCTGAGGAGAAAGGGTCAAGTAAACCCCTCTAGTATTCTGAATACATTAGTCCGGCACCTCTACTGAAAAACTACCGAGTATCATTCAACAACATCTACTATTAATATTAGTATTTGTCCTATATAGGACTAAAATCTAACTAAAATGCACTAATAGGAACCTATCTTTTTTATTCCATAAATAGGATTCCGGATTACCATTATACCCTCCTATATATAACTAAAAGAAAAAAATTAACCGCATCACTCTTCTCTCGATCTATCGACTCTCCCACGCCTGCTCTCTTTGTATCGGCTCCCTCCACCGCCCCTATTCATCGCAGCCGCGCTACTCTCCTATTCTCTCCGATCGTCCGCATCTTCTTCTTCTGTGCCGCCGCTGCTCATCTTTCCCTCACCTCGCTCGAAAGGTATGTCTTTCATCCTCCTCTTTCTTCTCCTCCTCTTCTTCTTCTTTTTTCCTCTTCTTATTCATCTTCTCCTCTGTTATTCGTCTGAATTTTCAGATTTTATTTCATCGATCTAATTTTGTTTTTTAGAGGAAATTTCATATTTCATTACATTTTTTATTTCTAGCATCAATTTTCTGATTTTTGAAGACTGGTTTCGTTTTTCTTTTTTCTGATTTCAATTAAGTTTTTGTTTTCCTGATTTTAGGCATTGGCTTTGTGTTTTGCCAAAATTTTGGCAATTCTGTGCAAAATTTACAATTATGTAATGGCATAATTTTCACTTCGATTTAAAAGTTTTGCCATCTTTATGGCATACTTCCTCCGTTCTTTTTTAGTTGCAACGGTCAACATTTCACACTTGCCAACGCACATCTTTGACCGTAATTATATCTTAATCCCTATTAGTATAAAATATTTAAAAATTAGATTTTGAAACTTTGTAATGAGATGAATTGAACAATATAATTTTAAAAAAATAATTTTCATAAAATAATAATATAAAATGTAGTCAAAGTAGAACATGTGAATAGTGTAAAATTCAACACGTTGCGATTAAAAAGAGACGGAGGATAGTATTTGATGATTATACTATGGCAGAAAGAATCTCGTTTCTTTCAAAAAACTGCCAAGTTTAAGGAAAATGGTTGGTGCTTATATGTTTATATATTTGTTCAATTTCAATTTTTGCAGATCAACTTTATGTTTTAATTTTTTATTTAAAAAATCTAATTTCATTTTAAGATCTACTTTTTCTAGTTTTTTTTTGTCTTTAGCTTCGTTTTCTAATTCTGATTGTGTTAATCTTTTTGCCAAATTTTTGACATTTGTGCGTATTCCATTAGTTTTTTTATTTTTTCAATATTTGGATATTGAATTCATGTTTTTGCCAAATTTATGGCAATTTTGTGTTAATCTTCCAACATAAATCTGTCATCTTTATGACAGATCTGAAAATCTTGTAACTTAATGGTGGTGGCGGCAAATGATGGTGGCTGGCGGAGCCGGCGAGGGCGGCGGCATGAGGTGCCGGCGAGGGCGGCGGCAGGAGGTGCTAGGGGCACCGACGAGGGAGGCGGGAAGGGTGGGGTTCCAAAATTTTAATTTTACTTTTTTAATTATTAATTCAAAAGTTTTCAAAAAAATTATTAATTCAAAAGAAATTGTTAAGGGGCATATTTGTACAAAATGGTGGTTTTAAGTTCTACAAATTGTTGTTTTTTCTTCAAGTCCTATTTGTGCACATTCAATTAGTATTAGTCCTATATGGGTAATTACCTCGTACTGGATGGAGAGACAAAGTGGTTGCCGGGTTTGTTGAGCCATCTAGGAATAATATTGGCGGTGGAAAGTCATAAACAACCCCCTAGCCAAATCATTCGACAACCAAATTCGGATTTCAGATGAGAACATTGGTGGATATTTCATTCTTACATAACCTTTTGATCAGATTTTTTCCTAGTGCCATATGTTAGTATTACGTAATATTGTCTTGGGAACCCTCATTTATTTAAAAACGAAAAAAAAAAGAAAAAAAAATGCAGTAGCAAAGAAGGGTGGACCTGGACGAGAAGAAAGCTAAAGAGGAAAGGAAGAAAAAGAAAAAATGACAAAATGAAAGAAAAGGAGACAGATTAAGAGCCCGTTTGGTAGCACAAAAATCGGTTGATTTAGTTGATTCTGCTGAAATTTAGTAAGTTCTGGCTGAAGTGGTTGAATTGGTTGATTCTGTTGATTTAAGAATAAATTATTTTTAAATGTATTTTATTAATAAAATAGATAAAAATTATATGTAAAAATATCTAAAATGGTCATCTATAGTAACTTCAGCCAATACATCCAGAAAAGTAATTTCAACCTTAATTTTTCTGCTTATTACGACTATGTTTGGCACAATTAGCTGAAAAGCTCTTTTAGTGAACTTTTTAGTAACTGATAGCTTTTAGTGACTGAAAAGATCTTAAAAGTAAAAGGTGGTAGCTGTTTGGTAAAAAGTTGACTGTTTGATTTAGTTCTGTTTGGTATACAAGCTATTAGGATTAATTAAAGCTAAAAGTCACAGGCTTTTCTCAGATGCTACTACCTGTAGCATCTCAAAAAAGATCTTTTATTTGTTGAAAAGCTCTTAAAATTTGGCATGCCAAACAAATAACTAGCAGCTTTTAGAGACTTTTTAAATAGTACAAAAGCCAGAAGTTAGAGACTTATGTCCGCCAAACATAGCCTACACAATTCAGCGCGTGAAAGAAAAAATTACGTGTTTGGTGAAAAAGTTGGCTGATAAGTCTGATAAGCCGGAAAACGGTGTTGCCATACGGCCCCTAAAAAGGAAAAGAAACTAATACTATCTACTCCCTCCATATTTTTTTGTTTGCTACACTTTCCTTTTCGGGACGTGTTTAAAAGTTTGCTATACTTCCATTTTTGGTAAGTTTACCTTTTATAAAATACCAACTACCCTTACTTTTTCTACTTTTTATCTCATCTTTCATACTTTTACACACTCTCTCCTACTTTTTCTACAATATTCATTACTTATATTGCTTTACTCCTTAAATAATGTGCCAAAGCTAATCTAGTGAACAAAAAATAGTACTCCATCCGTATCAAATTAATTGACTCACTTTCCCTTTTGGGACGTATCAAAATAAATGTCTCATTTCCCGTTTTGGAAATAAACTCACCCAAAAAGCAGCTACAGTACCGCTACAGTACTGCTACAGTACTGCTACAGTACCAAAAACGTCTTACTTTACGTATATTTGCCTTAAACTATGTGAAAAAGCATATGGGTCAATTAATTTGATAAGGAGGGAGTATTTTAAATGAGCATCTAACCTGCCACAGGGATTGTATTCCGGTAAGTTGGTTAAATTGATTGCTTTTTAGATATAGGTGGGATAAAATGATGCTTTATTTTGTAGGAGGGTTTAATTGATGGTTATGATATAGTGTTGGATCTATTCTGACCCCTTTCCCAATTTCTCAATACTAAAACTTGTCCTATATTTTACTATTTACAGCCAAAAAAACTGAACATGTTGTCTGTGAGAATACCCCAGACATTCCATATAAACTGCAGGAACAAGATTTTCTATGAAACTTTTTGCTCAACATGTTGTACTTTAGAAAAAGTGATACAGTTCTTTAAAAACAAAACAATTTTGGTAATTTTATGTCATTTTTGGCGAAGTATTTTAATTTTTAATTTAGGTATTCAACAAAATATTTTAGCATTTCAGGCCAACAATAGCTAAGATAAACCTTGTTCCCTTGGTGAAGCTATTAATGGTTTTTTGCGTCTAAGAAAAGGTTATATATAGGGCAATTTGCATTTAATATCAAACATTAAAGTGTATTATTTGCACATTTTCCCGAACCAATAAATTATTATGATCATACAAGTTGTTCATTCTAGAGAAATGTAAACATTTAAAATGTGGGAAACAATATAATGATAGAAAATGTTAAATGGTAAAGGTAGTAAGGTACCACCATATGAAGTTCTAATAAAAACGTAAAAAGAAAAAAGCACCAAAAATGAAAATAACATGTATCACACTAATGAGTTGAAATGGCATTACCTGAAAGCCATTGTACCATGGTCTATTCTTCTGCAGATGGACAAGCTTGAACTGTTCAGCTAGTATCTGTGCAAATTTCCTAGTCTCTACCACGGGAACAGATACATCTTGATCTCCACTGCAATAACTTGTTATTATTGCTTCATTTTCAAAATTAGGCCTATAACATATACTCCTGTCCTTTAAAACTTTTTAATCTTTGAATTTTTCGGTCGATAATATATCAATCAAGTTAAACTTTGACCAATGATATATTTTATGGGAAATTATTTATAATGTAAGAATGATATAAAAATATTCTTTGTTAAAAAAAACTTTCATATAAATATAAAATTTATAGCTTTCAAAAAGTTACACTTATACTAATCAAATCATTATCTAAAGTTTATCATCATTGACATGCAAAGTCAAAGATAACAAAGTCTTTTAGGGACAGAAGTAGTACATATTTAAGAGTGGAATCGAAAAGATTTTCCAATCTCTTAAGGAATGAATGATTCCATACCATACTCAAGGGTTTCTCAAATCTATATAAAGCCCTTCACATTTTCACATGAACTCAATACACAAATCTCTACTACTACACTTTTTCCTTCTTCTATAGGTGTATTGAGCCACAAAAAATAGATTGAGCAATATAATTATTCTTTATTCTTTCATATCTAGCTTCATAGAGCTCTATTGTCCATTTATCTTCAAATTTTGCTTAATAGATCATTATAAACACAACTCTTGATTTGTTCTTGTATTTTTCATAGAATATACGTAGTACTAGTGTTTCTTCTTTACTTCCACTCTTGATCTTCATATTATTCGAGTGTGAAGAAGAACTCATTCTTATATTGAATCTGTTACAATTTGTTTAAAGCTATTCGGGGACACCCTACACAAATTCTAATTATATACAATTGATCGAGGAGGGATGTTTGAGAAATCCTCATAAGCTTGAGGAGAGCTGTTGTGAAATTCATATACCATATACGTACGGTTGAGGAGAACCATTGTGAAATCCCCACATCCATGGGCAAGAATATGTTGCCAAAATTTCTTGCAATGCTTTTGTGTGTCAAAGGAGACAAAAGAACTACTGTATTTTGAAATCATGAAATATGAGCCATTGGATACTAGAGTAGATGTAGTCGGGCAGTATAAATTACAGTGTCATCCTTTACTTTCTTTATATCAATGCACTCTTATTATATTTGGACTTTAATATTAATTCATACTACCAAACTCACACATCACATGCACATTGGAGTTTCCACTTTGGTATATTAGGAAATGTTAGGTTTGTTTCAAGCCTAACGAGAAGATTAAGTCATGTGCTTGACCTTTTTCATTATCAATTGCCGAGAGTAAACTATTCATTATGCTGTGTTAGAAAATTTAAAACCCATTTGGTAACACTAGAATTGACTAAATCCGCCGATTTTGCTAAAATTTATAAAGTTCTTGCTGAAGTGGCTGAATTGTCTAATTCTACTGAATTATGAAAAAATTATAATTAAATACATTTTATTAAAATAATAATAAAAAAAATTATATTAAAAATAGCTAAATTTGTCTTTCATAGTAACTTCAGTCAATCCAGCTAGAAAAGTAACTTCAACCCTATTTTGATTATTATACAATTAAACGAGCGAAATCAAAAGTTTTGCATTTGGTGAAAAAATAAACTAAAAAACAGAATCACCAAACGAGCTCTTAAGATACAATCATTTTTTGGAATTATTGTGATTTCATACGTAGTATTGCTGTTACTCTTATTTGGGTAATAAATTATTTGGGTAATTGACCCAATACTAATCTAGAGTGAATGTACTCCCTAAAGGATGTCTGCCATCATAGAAGGACACATCTTGGTGGAATGATGAGGTGAAACAAGCAATAAGGACCAAAAGGGAATGTTATAAGAAATTGGGCAAAAGTTGGAGCGACGAGAAAATAGAGGAATACAAGGAGGCTAGAAGAAGAATAAAGAAAGTTGTAAAGGAACCAAGAGGAAAAGTGGACAAGGAATTGTATGTAAAATTGAACTCTAAGGAAGGAGAAAAAGATATTTACAGACTTGCTCGCCTTCATGACCATAGGACTCAAGATATCGGAAAAATTAAGTGTGTGAAGGATGTTGATCAAAGTGTACTAATGAAGAACGAGGAAATAAAAGAGATGTGGAGGTCATATTTTGATACCTTGTTCAACGGGAATAAATTGCAAGGTATTGATGATCTTACTATACGTGAGTGTACGGTAAATCAGGACTTCATGAGAAGGATCCAAAAAACAGAAGTAAAGAGGCTATGAGAAAGATGAGGTGGAAGAACGTAGTGGGCCCAAATGACAAACCGGTCGAGGCTTGGAGAAGTTTGAGAGAGAAAGGCCGGTATTGAGTGGCTAACACGTTTATTCAACATGGTTTGGAGAAATAACAAAATGCCAGTGAGTTGGCAGAAAAGTACTCTCGTTCCCCTATTTAAAATAAGGGTGACGTACAAGAATGTGCCAACGATTGAGGGATTAAGCTTATGAGTCACACTATGAAACTTTGGGAGCGAGTGGTTGAGCATAGACTTAGAAAAAGTGTGAAAATTTCGGAGAATCAGTTTGGTTTTATGCCTGGGCACTTAACAATTGAAGTCATTCACCTTTTTAAAAAAATTGTGGAGAAGTATAGAGACACTAAAAGAATCTGCATTTGGTGTTCATTGACTTAGAAAAGGCATATGATAGGGTATCTCGAGAAGTTCTTTGGTGGAGCTTAACTAGAAAAGGCACATCACGTAAGTATATCAGTACCATCATGGATATATATGAGACTTGTACTACAAGTGTCTGTATTAGTGTAGGGAGGACCGCAAAGTTCCCTATTGCTATCGGAGTGCACCAAGGATCGGCTCTTAGTCCTTTCTTATTTGTTATAGTCATGGATGAACTTACGAAGTCAATTCAATAAGATATATTATGGTAACTGATGTTTTCCGACGATATTGTATTGATTGATGAGACACAATCGGGTGTTAAAGCAAAGTTGGAAGTATGGCGACAAACATTGGAGACCAAGGGTTTCAGACTGAGTCGAACCAAGATTGAGTATATGTAGTGCAATTTTGGTGGAGATAAAAGTAGTAGCAACAGTGGAATTACTCTTAATGATAAGGAGATACTGGTGTGTGATATGTTTCGTTACTTGGGCTCCATAATTCAGAAGGATGGTGAAGTCAATTCAAGACGATATACCGTGGTGCAAGATGTTTGCCGACGATATTGTATTGATTGATGAAACACAATCAGTTGTTAGAGCAAAGTTGGAAGTATGACGACAAACATTGGATAACAAAGGTTTCAGACTAAGTCAGAGCAAGACAAAGTACATGGAGTGCAAGTTTGGTGGAGGTAGAAGCAGTGGCAATAACGAAATTACTCGAGATGGTAAGAAGATATCGGTAAGCGATATGTTCCATTACTGGGATCCATAATTCAGGATGATTAATTAGATGAAGATGTATCCCATAGAATCAGAACAGAGTGGATGAAATGGAAGAGTGCGTCAGGATTTCTCTGCGATCGAGGTATGCCGACTAAACTGAAGGGTAAATTTCATAAGACAACAATTAGGACTGCATTACTGTATAGCGTAGAGTGTTGAGCGATGAAACAGTGTCACATTCAAAAGATGAATTTGGCAAAGATGCGCATGTTGCGTTGGATGTGTGGGCATACTAGAAAGGACCACGTGGGGAATGGGACAATCAGACAAAGGGTGGGATTAACACTCATTGAAGATAAGATGTGGGAATCTCGCCTGCGGTTAGGGCTGGACACGGGCCGGGTCAGGGTGGGGCGGGTAATGCAAAATAAAATGGAACAGCCGGTTCCATTATACGGTTCGGTCCGGTTCAGGTATTGCAATTTTCAAAATAGGAACCAGACATTACCCGACCTGTTTGAAACGGGTCGGTCCGGATCGGGTTTTTCGGTTCCTATTTTCATGTCTTAAAAATAGTAAAACTTACAAAGTTCCAAAAATCAATAATCAATTATCAATAATATAGTACATTGACAAGTTTCAAAATAAAAACATATACTGGTGCACATCTAACACAAGTGACAAGTTCAATACTCCATAACTTCATATGTCTAAGTTTCAAACAATTAAGGAAGTTCCAAAAATCAGCAATATGGCCAGTTTTAAGTTCCCAAATGACTACACCAAAGGTCCAAAATAACAACAGTGCAATGGATGTCATACCGAGTTACGACTGCCAAATGATGAAGGTGTCTAGGCCGTCACCAGGCTCACCACGGACTCTAGGGAGTCCCCTCTCTCCCCTAAGCCACACCAGAACAACAGTCCCTGGAGGTAAACCCAAAGAATCTCATCTTCAATAGGTTAGGGGAGAAAATCCCAGCCCAAACACGTATGGTAGTTGCCGAGAACCCAAATTGTGAACATCATCAGGTCCAGCAGAGGTGCCACCACAAGGAGGCCACCCTAGAACGAATCCCTACGCGTGAACATTTGGGGGGAATCGCTCCCCATTTGAAGCATTTTCCCCACCTGCTCACTGTCAACCAGACCCACAATGAGCCGCTCCATAAATTTCTGGAGCGGTAGAGATGATGACAATACACGTCAGGCAATTGTCCAAGGCGTCATCAAGTCTGGTGGGTTCGCCACCAGTTTTGTGACCGACCCCCGAAAGACTACCAAAAGGCCCTTCAAAGCACATTATGAGTACTTCGTATTTAGAAAGTTTACAAAAGATTTTCAACTATTGTGCTTTTAGACTACTCAAATCCCATTGTGGCACCCTATATCTACCAACTGAGTTATGCCCATCGGCCTTTTCATATTCCAATGTTAGTGGGATGGAAGTAGTTTTGTTACTTTTAGCTTCAAACTAAGACGTTGCGCTCAGAAAGTTGTCTGACACGTTCATTTTTTTTGGAAGAATTGTCTGACACGTAACACGTTCATTATAGCCCCAAAACCATTTAAGTTTTATATATTTACCATTTAAATCTTAAATTTGTGAGGGGAACTCTTTGTATACATATTTAATTGCATTATATTTTTGATATGGATACAAAAAAATAAAATAGAAGTGTACAAAGTAATTCTAATAGACATTCCTAAGAAGATTATATTAGTCACCTGTAAAATAGGATTCTAGTACGCCTCTTTAAAAGTGTTGCTAGTGTATGGAAGTTTTTAGTATCATATGCATCCTTCTCAACCTTGAGAGCCCTGCAATTTGATTTGATGTTTGATTAGAACTTTAGCATGCATAGAATACCTATAGTCCCATAATAGTTCAAAAGTATAAAGATGAACCATAGTGGATGAAAATACCCTTGACAAATATCCCAATTGTATGGCAAACGAGTCTTGTTCACGTGTACAGCTTTTTGAACTTCTCGCTTATTTAAATAAGACGATGCATATTGAGAAAGGCAAGGGGAACCAATGATATTGTCACTAGCCACCTTCACAGTTGAAAACAAAAATTATTTAGTGCTGTAGCATAGTTTTCAAAGGCGTGAGGTGGTATAAAGGATTTTCTACTAGCAATAATGATAAAATAACAGATATATTACAAATCATTAAACAAAAATAGTAAACACCAAAATTAGACAGAATAGAAAGAATAAATAATTTGAACATTAGCAATAGACATAGTAGTAACCACTATTCTGAAAACGGCCTAATAGAATTGATTAATCGGCCTCGTCGGCCTTAACTGTAGAGGACTAATCGACCTAGTCGGCCGCATAGGGGCTAGGTGCCCCTCAACCGTCCGATTAGCGCCTAGCGAGTTTTTAGAACAATGGTATTAACTCATGTGCAAAATATGGAGTTGTTTGGATCTGGTTCTTAAAATTGTGTATGTTCATTCAGAGAGTAAAAGCAGATATTGGAGTGTTTAGGTGGAAGTAGAGAAGTACTTCTAGGTTCTCCAAATTGCTCCTAGAAGCAGTTTTTTAGAAGCTGGGGGAGACCAGCTTTTAAAAAACTGATTCTGATTCTACGTTTGCAAACACCCCCTGTATATGCAAAAGCAGAATAATATTGTATTAACTCAAGAGACAATATTATAACCGGTTAAGAGAAGTCCAAGAAGAAAGGGGGAAAAAACAACTTCTCGAGACTCGAGAAAGACATAAACTTGATATGCGAAGACTGTGGGAAGAGTCACAGAGAGAAGGGGAAGACCGGAAGAGTGTGTATATCGTATAATCGGTTGTACAGTGTAAACCATACAACAGGTGACATTCTTGTAATTTTAGCTGAAAATTGCGACTTCTGGTAATTGAGCATCAATGTACTTGCATTGAGTATGAGGTCTATCTTGTTGAGTATTAGAAGTCTAATATTGAGAATTGTGATCACCGCTTCGTATCTTCTAATTTAATTTCTTTTGCTTACTTTTTCTTATATAAAATTTCTTAAATTATATCTATAAGCAATTCCTATGAATCTCAATATGCGCATCTAATTTAATATTAATTTTGAATTATGCATTGATATGAAAATCGTAAGATTTATTAATTAAGCATCAAGACATTTTCATTGAGTATCCAGCCTCCTCTATTGAATGTTGGAACTCTACAATTGAGTATAAAAATTTCAAAACCTATTAAGTATCAAAACATCGTAATTGAATATTGTGTTCTTCACTATTGGAAATTGACTGTAATTAAACATCTTCGTTGAGTATTGGAACTTTGCATTGAGCATCAAAACACTTTCATTGAGTATCGTGTACTCTATTATTGAGTATTGAGACTATGCGATCAAGCTTTAATATGGTCATCGCGAGCTCCAATCTGACTTGCGGTTGTCGCGTTAGTTTCCTTGACTTATAGGAGTCATTGAGCCGTGAGCAGGAGCATCTGGTGCGAGACAAGCTTTTGGTGTGATACGAGCGTCTTGTTGTCTGGGTCCGAACAACGATCTGTCCTTATGTGTGCGAGCGGCCAGGCTCCTGTTAGGTGCTGGCGGTAATGCGTCTATCTAGGTCATCAATGCTGAGCGCGCAACAACATTAAAACCCGGTTGTTCTGTGTACATGGTACAATCAGCCATGTGATATAATTTGCTACCGGAATAATGACTTATCTTGATAAGAAACAAGAAATGGAATTAGACTCCGAGAGGTACATGACACCTTATTTAAATACTACGGAGTACACATAAGAGAATTGTATAGCCGCGCAGCCCACAGGAGTATATGACAGTTTGATAGCCACAAGAGTGCAGGACACTTGACATTCATGTAATTTCTATATGTATGTTTGACTTTTTAATTAGTTAGAGTGTTTGTTACTTTGGAAATTACACACTTTTGGTGTAATAGTTTAGTTTGTAAAATATTTGTAATTTGTTTAGATTAGGTTTATTCTGAGCTCAAACAGGTCCAAGAACACTTTGGGGACCATTGGTGAACATCACAAGTGGAAGAAAAGTGCAAAAATACAAGAAAAAAGTGAAGATCTCGTTTTTGGTCTGTACCCGGTCGGGTATGACCTATACCCGATCGGGTACCCTTCTGAAAAATCGAATCAAATCAAATCCGGAAACAAGGCATCATGCGGGAGGATTTTAACACGTTCGGGTGTCATACCCGATCGGGTGACCAACAGACCCGGTCGGGTATGACCCCATTTTTCAGCTTCGAGGAAACCACATCTTATACCCGATCGAGTGAGCTGAAAGCCCGATCGGGTACACGACCCTACAGGCCTAAAAAGCCTATAAATACACCCCATTTCCTCCACAATAAACCACCAATTCCTATATACTTCTAAGCTCAGTCTAGATAAGTTCTTTCTTTATATTTTCTTCATGTTTAGTCTCCAAATGAGGAGCTAAACTCTTCCATCTTGGTTTTGCTACTTTGAAGCTTAATGAATGGTAAGTTGTGAGTTATTTTCTTTAATTTTCTTCCTTGAATATTAATTAATTCCTATTCCTATTTCATATTAATATTTTGAGCATTACTTAAAGGATCAACTAGTTTTGTTTCATATATTAATTAATACTAGAATCGGTCGATTAATACGCTTGTTATTAATTCGGTCCTTTCACGGTAGTAAACTTGGGTTATTAATGCATGCGTCTCATGGTTAATAATATAAGGGGAATTAATTATATTGATTAAACCAATAAACCGCTTGTGTTGAGGTTATCAATCTCAATAATTTTCATCTTGATTTTATTGCTACTATCGAGTGAATATACGACGCGTGTTCTATATTAACTCGGTAGTAAGTTTTATTAATGAACACGTCTCGTTATTAATAACTACCCTCGATGAATTGGATATACTCCTCGATTGAGTATTCGAGAGGAAGATAGTTAAAGATATAACCGGGATCGACGAACATTTCATTAAGTGGATAAAAGCAAAGCCAAGTCTTCTTCTCATTAATTAAACCACATAAGTCGTTCATCTTTGTGTTTACATATCATTTAAGTTCATCAACCAAACATTAAACCCCCCCTTGTTACTTATTTATTTCTTTAAAAAGAGAAGTGTTCCTTTCCTTGTGGATACGAACCTTACTACGCTATACTACGTATACGTGTTGTATTGTATTATTATTTTGAGTGCACACCACGACAAAGTGCACGTCAAATTTGGCGCCGTTGCCGGGGAAAGGCAACTATTTTTCTTTTTATTTTATTTCAAGAAAATAAAAAAAAATTAAATAAAATATAAAGAGTTCTTATTTTTCTATTTCTGAGCTTTGTGAAGTATATGGTCCGATATCGTTCCGTAAACGAAATCACTTATCAAGCAAACCCCGAAATAGAACAAGCCTTCGAGAGGTTGAGAAATTTATTTCCGCACACACCCTCGGAAGAATCCTCAAATGCTAGCTCTAGCTCTAGCAAATCTGAAGAGCCAATCACTATGGCTCAAGAAACAAGAACACTGAGGGAGCTCACGGCTCCAAACCTGAATCAACAACCATTGTGTATTACCTTCCTCACTCTTTGATGAGGGTAATACATTTGAGCTAAAGTCGGGGCTTATTCATCTTCTTCCTTCCTTCCATGGCTTAAGAGGGGAGGATCCAAATAAACATCTCTCGGAATTCCATGTTGTGTGCACAAGCATGTGCCCCAACGGAGTTACCGAGGAACAAATCAAGTTGAGGGCTTTTCCATTCTCCCTCAAAGACACCGCCAAGGATTGGTTATTCTATCTTCCCTCGGGAAGTATAGGTATATGGGCGGCCATGAAGAAAGCCTTCCTCGAAAGGTACTATCCCGCCTCCGTCTCCTCATCTCTTAAAAAACAAATCAGCAAAGTGGAGCAAAATGATGATGAATCGTTCTATGAATATTGGGTACGGTTCAAAAAGCTTTGTGCAAGCTGTCCATACCACAGCTATTCGGAGCAAGACCTCATCCTATACTTTCATGATGGTCTTTGCAATGATGATAGACGTATGATCAACGCCGCATGTGGGGGAGGAATCGTCAACAAAACACCTTCCCAAGCAAGAGACCTCATTTCGGAGTTTGCCAAAAACTCGAGACATTATAGTGGGAGGTCATCCAAAAAGCGAGTAATGGCGGCGGAATCCAACACCTCGTTGGAAAGTCAAGTTGCCGGCTTGACTTCTTTGGTTAAGGATTTTCTCTTAAATTCCAAAACCCAAGAAGTCAAGGTATGCGGCATTTGCACACAACAAGGGCACCCAACCGACTCATGCCCAACTATACAAGAAGACAACTCCGAGAAAGTCAATGCCTTGGGGTTTCCCGACCAAAAGAGGTACGATTCTTATGGAAATACTTATCATCCCGGGTTTAGAGATCACCCCAATTTGAGATATGAGAATCCGCAAGGAAACCCACAACAAAATAACCCACCACAAAATCAATTTCCTCAAAAACAACCGTACTCTAAACCCCAAGGCCAAGGCTCAAATATGTCCACCGAAGACATGATCCGAGCACTCACCTCAAATGTCTCAACCATGCAACAAAACATGGTCCAATTTCAACATGAGACCAAGTCTAGCATCCAAAACCTTGAGACCCAAATGGGCCAAATCTCAAGTGCGGTAAGTAGACTTGAGGCCAGGGATTCGGCAAAGCTTCCATCTCAAACGGAGCCGAATCCTAGGCAACAAGCCCATGCGGTGACATTGAGAAGTGGCAAAGAGTTGGTCATTGCCAAGGAAAAAGCAAGAAGCCACATTGGCGAAGAGGAAGAAGTGGAGCTTGTGGACAAAGCTCAACCGGAGGAGGAAGCTCACATTTCAACTCCACCCCCGGTTATTCATGAAGTGGAAGCATCATTTCCCGAAGCTCAAAGGGAAACACGGAGGGTGGAGAAGGACAAGGACATCTATGAGACATTCTCCAAATGTGAGGTAAATATTCCTCTTCTTAACTTAATAAAGGGTGTTCTAGATTTGCAAAATTTTTCAAAGAGCTATGCACAATAAAGAGGAAGCATAGACTCAAT